CCGTGGAAGAGATTACAGAGGTTGTGGATTACGTGCTGCCCCAATTTAGCTCTCCTGACACTCCCTTCCCTCCCACAGTAACAGGAAGGAGAGCCATAGTGATGCTTGGATTGGGATAGCCCTCCATCTGCCCTAATTCACTGAGGAAAAGTAAGTTACTCAGAAACTTGATACAGAGGCGCCTGTAGTTAGTTGGTTAAGTGTCTGACTCTTGGTTTCAGCTCAGGCCATGCTCTCATGGTTTGTGAGTTCAAGCCCTGTGTTGGGCCCTGTGTTCACAGTACAGAGCCTGCTTGGGATTCTCTGTCTTCTTCTCTCTACCCCTCCCCTTCTCTCTCTCTCTCTCAAAAATAAGTAAATAAATCTTATTTTAAAAAAAGAAACATTGATACGCTGGCCATTATTTGTAAGAAATTACTTATGACACCCCTGATTAGGCCACCTGATGTATGGTGATGCTGTTAGGATAAGACTGAGGTTCACCTTACCAGTACCTACACTGCTTGCTCATGGCCCAAACCGACTAGTGGGCTTTGGAGGCCAAAGGGATAATCTGTAACCTGGTCTTCATCTCTCACTTCCTCCTGCTCATCCATCTCCCCCATCACCCCACTCACCCCCTCCCTAGAAGAGCAATTGGGCTTTTTCAAGAGCTGTTAGAGATGCTGAGATCATCCTTCTATGCAAGATGATTGGTCCTCCCTGTATGGACATAGCCACTGCAAGAGTCTAAAAAGTAAACCTACCTATGGAAGGACAAGGAAAGTGACAGCCTGAGCACCCTGATCCCCAAGCCCCCTCTTGATGTTCCTTCTCAGGTCCCCAAGAATGTGCTTTGGCTTGAGGCAGCAGCAGGGACCCAAGTGGAAACCCTTAAGGTGAAGAGAATCCCCAAGACTCATTTGTTTTTCTTTTTTATTCATTCATTAATCACTGAGATGAGGTAGAGAAACAAGAGGGTCCATACTCTCAAGGAGCACATGGACCTGTATGTGTATTGTCATAGGGAGTGGAAGTGGCTTAAAGAAACAAAGAACAATTAGAACACAACGTCATAAGTACCAAAAAGGATAGCCCTTTTGTGGGGGCCTCAACAATGGAGCAACTCCTGCCTTATAGACTCAGGAAAGGTGTTATAGAGGTGGGGGCGTTTGATCTCTGTGTTAAGAGATGGGTAGAAGCTCACATGATCCAGAAGAGAAGAAAGAGCATTCCAAGGAGGTTGTGTGCAAGGGAATGGAATGTTCAGGAAATGTATAAAGTTTCATATGAATCACAAAAACAGTTCTTAGAGAGAAAGGGAAAGGAAAGAGTTAGGAAAGAACAGGAAACAGACATTAGGCCTAGGAAGTGGACTGGAATCCAGCACGGGAGGGCCATTGGGTTCTCCTAAGGAATCAGGGAAGCTTTGCTTCATGGTTTAAACAGGTGCCATGACCAGCATGCACTCTCCTGGCTTCTGGGGACAGTAATCAGTCCCAGTCCTGAGTCCTGTTCTCTTTAACCCTGTAGCTCAAACAGTGCAGTGGAAGGGCCGGAATAAAAGAGCAATGAGGATTGGCAAAGCTGACCAACCTCAACCAGGTCTGAAACAAACAGGCCCCCAGAATCCCCAGCACAGCATCCAGCTGTGTGTGTCTGGCGACACCTCTCTGTAGATGGGCCTGGGAGGGCTGAAGACAGTGAGGTGCTCCTGCAGCCATGTGTGTGAGCGAGCAGAGGCAGCGGATGTGGGGGAGGAGGAAAACCAGATGCTAGTTAGGATTCCTGTTTTCCTCCTCCCTTTTCTTTTGCATACATTTTCTTTCTCATGTGTTTGTCCCCACTCCCAGGTTTTAGAGCGAGGGTTGAGGAAAGCCACAGCCCTGTGCTCAGGGATGTCCTCAGCCTCGAGTCTGGCCAGCACAGTGTGCACGGGGCGATGTTGACCTCAGGCCCGGTGGTTCCAGCATGTATCTTCCACCCTAACAAGAACTGACCAGGATGTCCGAGCTTAACAGGAAGTGCAGGAGAGCAGCTTGGAGCTGTCTTCCATGGGTTTTCCTCACTATTTATTCTTGTTTCTTCCTCTCAAATAAAAGTGAAGTGTCTGCCATCTTGTGGCAGAGGCCTGGTACTGCCTGGGCCCCCACAGTCACTGTCCCACTGATCCCCTAGAAGGGATGCTGGCCCTCTGGGGTGGTCCATGGACAGGGGTCGGTGGGAGCTGGTGTGGAAAGGAGGAGGGAGCCTGTGCAGTAGTGCTCACCATCACTGGCCTCTCCCCCTTGGTAAATAGGCTTCTGGAGACAGTGGCTATGAACTCCAGGGCCTCAGAGGACGGCCGTTTATGAATGAGAAATAGGGTAAGTAGTGTGGGAGGAGGTCACCTTCAGAAAGGGCAGGGCCTGGAGGGGATGAGGTGAGTGAGTGGAGATCTGAGACCGGGTCTTGGCCCTGAGGGAAAGGGAAGGGGGCAGAGGATGTCAGCAAGCTCCTGTGCAGGGTGTCCCCAGCCAGGACAGTCAAACTATGAGGTCACATCAGAATGTGGAAGACTCATGTCAGCATGTACGCAGTATCTCGGGTGAGAACCAGAGGGGAGCATCTCTCATGAATGAGTAAATGAGCTCTCTGAGGGCAATCATGTATGCACATGATTTCTGGGCTCCTGACCAGTGAGAGTGTCAACTCCACTTATAAATCTGGAGCCCTTTTATTTCCAGCCACAAGAGACAGAGGTCATGTGAAATCAGTCCTAGAAGCTCTCCGCCTCTCTCAACTTGCACCAGGAAGTTCAAGTCATGACCTGACATCCTTTCCTTTCTACAAGCTCTCGAGTGCTGCCTGCAGCAGCCAGGATACCCCACAGACCTCGTGCTTATCATCTTCACCAGAACAGTCCACCACCACAGCCACCCCACGTCCTGAAGTGGGCACTCCTTCATAGGCGAATACTAGCAGTAATTTTAGTAAGTGTCCACTACACACCCCCTGGGCACTGACTCGTTTCCCATTGACAGTGAGGTCATTTCTAACTCTAACTCTAACCAAGACAGTTAACCATTCCAGATTCTCATTCTCATCCGGGCTTTGGTTCCTGAAAACAATTCTGGAATCAATTGCTGTGGTAGCTGGAGTTCAATCATAGAAACGGTGTTCAAGGCATTTCAAGCAGGAGGGTAGATTTTAAGCATCAAAGGAAATTTGATGCTTCCAGACTCATTAGAGAGGCTGTTTGAGTGAAGATCAGGGAAAAGCACCACTGCATTTCAGGATACCAAGAAGTTACAGAAATTGCTAGAAATCACTGCTGATGACTTTGCCTGAAGCATAACTGTCAGTGATTGTCAGGAAGAGCTGGTGGAGTCTCCCGTCTGATCTTTGGAGATACCTGAGCCCATCTTCACGGCTGCACCTTGCAAATAATGGCTTCTCCTGATCCTGCCTAATTTCACGTGTGCTTCTCTCATTGGTGGACTCTTAATTGGCATGCTGTTGGCAATAGAATCTGGGAAATGTAGTTTCAAGTTTCCAGCCTGTGCAGTATCAGGGTGAGCTGAGAATGTCAGGGATCAAGACACAATATCTGACACGCACTTTTAAATGCAGATGATAATAATAGTACTTCCTTCATATGGCTGTTGTGAGGCTAAAATTAACACTGTGAAGTCTTTGCACAGAGTGTGGCATATGGTAAGCCCTCGATAATTGCTCGTTTACAAAAAATTGTCAAAACTGAAGTCAGAATGGCTCCTCGTTCTCATTTCTAACCCCTGTAAGGAAACTGGCTGCTTCCGAGCTGTGGGGTCCAACGTGCCTGCCTTGGCGAGGTTCCCGTTCCTTACCATCCTGGGCCTGTTTGGCGTCAGATCCTCAGTCTGCCTCATTCTGGCTCAGAGGGCTAGATGGAGATGCAGGAGGAAGGGGAAAGTTCTCAGGGAAATAGTGCAGCAATGAATCATGCTGGATTAATACTGGATTCCCCCTGCTCTGCAGAGGGAAGGACTTCATCTCAAATGGACCAACAGTCAGAGACTGGTCAGTTCCCTCCTGGAAACACAAGTCAGGGCTGTGCCTTGCACTTCTGTACCAAATAGAGTCAGCGAACCCGGGGTCGAGTCTCTGTAACCTTGTGCCCAAATGCTCCAAGCAGCCTGTAACGAGAAAGAATCAGGGCACAGCTGAAATCCAAAAGGGAAAGGAAACAGGCTAAGATCCATGGGGAACAATGTCTATTTCTTAATCTGTCTCCTGCCCCAAATAGCTCCGCTCTCCTCCCCCACTTGTGTTTACGTGTCTGTTTCTTTCCCTGGCAGCAGATGCCACCAGGCCTTAAAGTAGGCCACAAAGGGCGGTGATGAGCCGACACAGGCCCTCAGGCCACGTCCTCCCCTGACCTCACTCCCCGGTTCCGGTCGGTCCGGAGACCCACATGAGCCCCTGCTCTCCAAAGCACCCTGGCAGGGTCCACGCTCCCTAGAACCACAGCGAGTGGGGGTTCCTCTGTCCAGCCTGTGAGTGGGCAGGGGGCCTGTTCTGAACTGGCAGCAGAGGGGACAGCACTGGGCTGGGCTGTAGCCCTCCCCGCCCCATCCTGCCCCTGCCCTTTCATCCCCTCCAACCACAGCCCTGCTTCACTGCCCTCAGGGACGCGCATTCTTCCCAGGGCAGTCAGGGAGCAACATGTTTCTCCAGAGAAGCACCGGGGTCCCTTTCACACAGACCCACAGGGTCCAAACCAGGGCTCCCAACACGTACCGGGGGCAGCCTCGGTATGATGGGTAGAGCACACATATTCGAGTCAGGAAACCAGACTTCAAACCCAGTTACCTGAGGCACAGGCCCGTGAGAGCTTGGCCGGAATAACCCAGCTGGGAAGCGGCAGAGCCCAGGCCCGCAAGGACCCACTGCACACCCCAAGTCACGCGTGTCTGCCTCCCTCACAGCTGGACCTCCCAGCTCTCGTCGGGACCCTCTCTGCCCAGCATCCGGTCCTCATGGTGCCTTTCTCTCCCCAGGTTCTTTCAGAGCACGGCTATGGCCCGATCACGACCGACATCCGGGAGGGACAAACTTTCTACTACGCGGAAGAGTACCACCAGCAGTACCTGAGCAAGAACCCCGATGGGTACTGCGGCCTTGGGGGCACCGGCGTGTCCTGTCCACTGGGTATTAAAAAGTAATTTCTCCGCTTGTGATCAGCGCTTGAGGTCACAGCAAAAATGCTTTCAACAAATTCGGCAATTCTTTTGTGGTTCAGGTCAGTGGCTTTTTGAAGTGCGCAGAGCACAAAGGCATTCATAAAAATCTGGTGTAAGGAGGTGTAATTTACATGAAGTGCAATGAATGGCAAGTTGAGAACATGCAGTTTATCTTCTAATAAATGATGGTGGGAGTCGAACTGTGACCTACTGGGGTCTGAGTGAGGATAACGAGGATGCTGTGTTCCCCTTCTTGGGCTGGGATGCCTGCCTTAAAAGCTGGGGAAGGAAGCTGGGAGATTGTCGGACCAGATGAGGCACATCGGACACCCTTTAACTGTGCCCTGTCCCATCTTACCTGCCCTCTACCCTCTAGTGCCTTAAAATCTTCAATCATTTATAGCCTCAGTGAATCATTCACTGCAATACTTTGCTCTGTTGATCCTGTATGTGTAAGGGGCTTTCTCTCCTTTTCAGCCCTCCCGTGGCAGAGAAAAGATGTGAGTTAGCTTGATGAATTGAAATGCTTTGCTTACAGCTATAAGAAATTCTTGTTCTAATAAAAGTGTGCAATCTAATACAAACTGCCTCACGTCTCATCTGTCTTTTACTTTTAGGTAGGATATTTCTAAGTATTGTAGGACAAAACCCTCGAAATGAATTTCCCCCAAATGGAAGATATTATTGAAGTTTTCAGGAACCATGTATACCTCTGGCTCCTTTCACCTTTGGTGATAACAGATGTTTTCCACATGCCTGTTACAGCCATCATACCAGGTACTATTCTAATTAGAACAGACATGTCCATTTCTTGTCCTTAAGAGTCTTTATATTCAAGACAGCGAGTGGGGGACATAAGCAAGAAACATGTCATCACATGAACAAATCAGATAATCACAGGTCCTGACAAATGATCTGAAGATGATAAACAGGATAAGATAAGCTGCCTCTAGGGGCTGTGGAGTTACACACAGAGGGGTTTTGGTTACATTGGTCAGGGAAAGCCTCTGTGAGGTGGAGAGACAAGTTAACTGAATGATGCAAAGGAGAAATGTAAACACAGGGGAGGAGGGCAGAGCTTTGGGGGCAGGAAACAGATTAAGAAATATATTGTTCCCCATGGATTTAACATGTTTCTTTTCCCTCTTCAATTTCCTCTGTGCCCTAAGCCACCGTGGAAAAATTAAAAATAGAAATGTCATATGATCCAGTAATTCCACTCCTGGGTAATTACTCAAAGAAAATAAAAGCACTAATTCAAAAAAGATGTATATACCCCTGTGTTTATCACAGCATTATTTGTAATGGCCAAGATACAGAAGCAACGTAGGCATTATTCAATAGATGAGTGGATAAAGAGAATGTGATTGATGTGTACACACACACACACACACACACACACACACAGAGGAATATTATGTGGCCATAAAAAATGATGAGAGCTTATCATTTGCAACACATGGACAGACCTAGAAGGTATTATGCTAAGTGAAATAAGTCAGACTGAGAAAGACAAATACCTGATTATTTCACTCATATGTGGAATATGAAAAACAAGACAAATGAATAAAGAAACAAAAAGCAGAAACAGACCTAAAAATACAGAGAACATAATGGTGGTTGCCAGAGGGGAAAGGATACAGGGATGACCAAAATGGGTGAAAGGGAGTAAGAGGTATAGGCTTCTATTTATGGAAATAATAAGTCATGAAGATGAAAGGTACAAGCATAGACAATGTAGTCAGTGGTATTGTAATAGTGTTGTATGGTGGCAGGTGGTAGCTACATTTTGTGCTGAGCAGTGCATCTTGTATAGAGATATGAAATCACTGTGTTTTACATTTGAAACTAATGTAACATTGTGTGTCAGGTATACTTCAATTAAAAAATTATTATGGGGGCACCTGGGTGATTCAGTCAGTGAAGCATCAGACTCGGTTTTTTTCTCAGGTCATGATCTCATAGTTCGTTAGATTGAGTTCCACATCAGGCTCTGTGCTGAAAGCATGGAGCCTGCTTGGGATCCTCTTTCTTCCTTTCTCTCGGCATCTCCCCTATGCTTGCTCACACTCTCTCTATCAAAATAAACAAATAAACCAAAAAATATTATTAAAAAGAAAAATATGTAAGTGGAGCAGACTGATATGCCTAATCAGTCTCAACATCCCCATTTTGGTTGCCTGAGGGAAAACCTTTCCACACAGAAGGGCCAGAAAGTATAAGTGTCCCATGACAGGGAGGAATTTGTAGTGCTTGAGAAACGGACAGGCCCATAGGGCTGGGTGGGAATGAGGAAGAGTATTGGAAAGAGAGGTAGGAAGAGCCAGATCATGCAGAACCCTCAAGGGACATGTTAATGGGACTTGTTCATTTGTTCATTCATTCTGTTTAATAATTGATGGCCATTGGAGAATTTCTATGTTTCTCCTTTTTTGTCTAGGCTGAGCAACTAGAGGAACGGTGGTGTTATTTATGTGTAAGGAGGAGACAGAGGAGAGATAAGTGAATGAATCAATTTTGGCCACTCAAAATCTGAAGTGCTTCATCCTCATGAAAATGTAAGGGAGGGTAGTTTGCTGTGCAGTTGTAGAGCCAAGGAGGGATCCAAGGAAGATAAATTTAAGAATCGCCAGTATATGGATGACATTTGAGGTGTGAAGCTAGTTTAGATCATCTGGGGAAGGAATGTAGAGGAAGAGAGGGGGATGGAGTATTAAATTGCTGGGGTGTCCTGACATATGGAGAGCTGGTAAAGGAGGAGCAAAGGAATTTGAGAAGTGACATTTGAAGGAGGCACATAAAGGAGGTGTGTCCTCACAGTGAAAACTAGCCACAGACATGTACCCCAAGAAATGAATAATGATCTGAATGACGCAAAAGTGAAATGCAGATGATGCATCATGAGTCGGGGTTAAACTCAGACCAAGTTTTTTCTATATTTACATCAGAACACAATAAAAAATGACAAGGAAGCCAGGTCCTTTTGAGGAAGGATCTTGTAGTGTTTCAGGAGGTATGTGCTTTGAATCTTGCCCTAAGCCTTCCCCAGAGGAAAATGGGGGGCTTTTACCAAAGTGACTCTTTTTTAAAAAATTTTTTTTGTTTTATTTATTTTTGAGACAGAGAGAGCAGGAGTGGGGGAGGAGCAGAGAGAGAGGGAGACACAGGATCTGAAATAGGCTCAAGGCTCTAAGCTGTCAGCACAGAACCCGATGCAGGGCTCGAACCCACGAACCGTGAGATCATGAACTGAGCCGAAGCTGGACACTTAACTGACTGAGCCACTCAGGCACCCCACCAAAGTGACTCTTTACTCAAGAAGTGGAAATCACCCAGGCCCTTCTTGGAGTTATTACTTCCTGGCTATAAACTGACGTTTTAGGACACCTTCCACTAGGGTCCCTTTGGAAGGGTGGAGTGTTGTTTCAAGTCTATTTCACAGTGGGTCTAGCGGGTATGAGTAACAAGCCTGAAGTTCTTTCCTCACTCCCAGTATGCCTAGTGTGTATTAACTATGTTCCTAGCTTCTGTAAACTGCTTTAACATCTCCCTGCATGCATATGTTAGACACGCCTTGTCTGGACAACCCTATAATATGCCCCAGCCACCTTGCCTTGACTTCCTGCCTCCTTTGTCACTCCGCTTCTCTCTGGGAGGAGTCTTCCTCCTGGAGGCACTTTTCCAAATATAAACTGACCAATGCAGAGCTCACATCCCCATTCACTGCCTTTATCAGACTGTCACAATGCAGACCACTATCTACCTGCTCTAATCACCCCTGGTCACCAGGTGCCAGACAACTAGGGACAGCTCCTTTGCCCCAGAGCCAGATAAAATTATTGAAATGAGCTAACCTAAGTCTGCTTAGCCTGCTTCACCATTCCTTCCTTTGGGAACCACAATAAAGACTCTTCTCCACAGTTCTACCCTCTCCCTCTGCCTCCTGATAGACCCTGATGCTTACCCTGGTAGCTTCCGATGGCATGACATGGAATGCCCCTTCCTCTGGGATCTGTGAATAACAAACTCTCTTTTTAATAGCAACCAGTCAAGTTCTGTTGGCCCTACCACAGCTAAATAATTATAAACCTATTAAAACATAAAGAGGATAGATATACCCGGTAACTGACAAAATCCCCATTTTAGTTCCCTTATTCACAGAATAAAGATCCTCAGACTTAACCACTCCCGGTAGAGTAAAGAAAAAATAATATCTGTGAGGAAGCTTAAAATAGTAGTGACACCAGTAGTAAGATTAAATGATTCAGAGTTTGAGATTGGTGCACATCCTGTTTTGTTTCCATTTGGCAGATATTAAAGCTTGATAGGTCTTGGGAAATGAATGTAAGTTATATTAGACACTTAATGAGGTGGTCCATGTATGTCAGGGGCTCCAGATATATCATACTTACTAGAACAAGTTAATATAGCCACTGGCATCTAATATGTAGCTATCTGTGCCAAAACATTTTCTTCTCTATCCGTACAAGTAAGGACCATCAGAAGCAGTTTGCCTTCACATAGTAGAGTCATCACTGTATCTTTGCTGTCCTGTCTCAAGGTCATGCCAATTCTACTTTATGTCACGTTTAGTCCAAAGAAAGCTTGATCACCTTGGCATCTCACAGAACATCAACTGATTCATTGTACTGTTGACATTAGATGAATTTGGCAAGTAGGAAGGAATGAGCAGCCTGGACAGTGAGAGATTTTACCCAAAAGTTCAAAGACTGCCACACTGATTATAGTTCTGTGTCTGGTGATCTGGAGTGTGAGACACAAGTTACTGCATTTTGGACTACCCATCATGAAAAAAGAGACACAATATTTAGTGGACCTCTTTGAGCTTGGGAAGCAACAGATAACCACATTTGGGTGGGCTGACTTGAACTATGTACTGGGTGACCCACCAGGTTTGAGATGGACTCAGAACAAGAAAAGACTCTTCAGAAGATCCAAACTGAGCTACAAGCCACCTTGCCAACAGCAGTCCTTAATGTATTGAACATATCTGTGGCATACAGAGATGTTGGATAGAAATTCTGGCAAACCCCAGTAGGAGAATCACAGTGAAGACCCTAGGGCATGAAGAATACAGCTATGTCCTCTTCCCTTCTGCATTGAAAAATAACTCCTGACTTGCTAGTAGGCCCAGATAGAGAAGTAAACAACTCAAGCTATAAAATCTAGGTACTCTCTGATTATCTGAATCACCAAATTGAATGTGCACAGCAGTAATTTATTGTTAAGTGGAAATTGTGTATATGAGATTGGGCTCAAGGGCAGATTTAGAAAGTGAATAAGCTGCAAGATAGGTGGCTCAGACTCACATGATGCTTACTTTAATTTCTTCATTACCTTACCTTTATCCACAACTCTGACCTCATTGGCAGTTTCCTCTGACTAGAAAGGAGAGAATTATGTGTCTTGTTTATAGATCAATGTTACTATAGGCTGGCTGTAGCCAGAAGCAGATAGTTGTTGCATTGCAACATCACTTGGTTTGCTCTGGACGACAGTAGTGAGAAAATTCTCCCAGAGGCAGAAATGTGAGCAGTGCAGTTGGTTATCTACTTCATATGGA